CTCGTGCAAGCAAGGAGCATCTTGGTGCCATTTGCAGTTTCAACTCATGCAGGCAATCAGCATTTGGTGCCGTTTGAAGTTTCAGCTCGTGCAAGCAAGAAGCGTCTTGGTGCCGTTTGTAGTTTCAACTCGTGCAGGCAAGGAGCGTTTGTTGTCACCTTTTAGGCTCGTGTGGACAATGAGCTTTGGTTGTCGCTATTTATGCTTGTGCGGACGAGGAACTTTGGTGTCGCCTTTTAGGCTCGTGCGGACCAGGAGCGTTGGTGTCTCCTTTTCTGCTCGTGTGGACCAGGAGCGTTGTTGCCGTATCTAGTTTAGGCTCGTGCAAGTGAGGAGCTTTGTTGTCGCCTTTTATGCTCGTGCGGACGAGGAGCTTTGGTGTCACCTTTTAGGCTCTACGAACAAGGAGCATGTGAATTTAAACGATCTTAGAAAGGCATTCCTTGCAATCTTCATAACAATAAGTCTTGATCGAGTGATTGAAGAAGTCTTCGAGGAAAAAATCGCGTCGTGATGGCAACGGGCGATCTTCGTGTCGCAATTTCATCATCCGCAACATTTTCATGTAGTTTTGGAGGTTAACGAGAGTTGTTTTGCCCCTTTTCCGATTGATGAACTTATGGGGGAGACGTATGCTTCTTGTGCAGTTTCTTTGGAGTGACATGAATCTATCTTTCAACTTCACTTAACTTGACTGACATGGTTTTGGAGCATGCCCCAAGTGGTTGAGGTGAAGATTTTGAGTCAAAAGAGCCGGAAATGATAGTGGTATAGGTTGACTTCACCACATCGTTAAGATCTAGCTCGATGATTCCTTTCTGAGCCAGCTTCATGATGAGATCTTTAAGCACGAAGCACTTTTTTGTCGGATGACTGATAAAGCGGTGGAATCTACAGTACCTTGGACTATCAGTACGATTCATCTCTTCCGGTCATTTGCACTTAGGTAGGTCGATCACTTTTTATCAAACAAGTCTTTCAACATGGCAACCACATCAGTGTCAGGGAATGGATAAGTCTTATCCTCAAGCTTCTTCAAAGTGCATCTACGCATCTCTTGATCATGAAAAGCTTCGCCTTGAATCGCCTTGCCTCGTGTAGAGATTTTGACGGGAGCTATGTTGACCGTCATTGCTTCCTTGGTGGGTTTCCACGCAACCTTCTCTACTTTTGGTCCAAAAACTTTGTCGTTCTTGTAGTTGGCGATCAGTTCTTTCTTTCCATGATGGGCAATGCTCAACTCCATGTCATGAGCGCGGGTGGCTAACTCTTCAAAGGTCCGCGATTTGATGCCTTAAAGGATGTAGTGTAATCCCCATTGCATGCCTTGGACACATATCTCGATCGAGGAAATCTCCGAGAGTCTGTCTTTGCAGTCGAGGCTTATAGTGCATCATCGGTTGATATAGTCTACGACTGGCTCGTCCTTCCACTGCTTCGTACTTGTCAACTCTAACATGCTTACAGTGTGGTGGGTGCTGTAGAAGCGGTTAAGGAATTCCCTTTCCAATTGCTCCCAATTATTGATGGACTAAGGCTCTAGGTCCGTATATCATTCAAAGGCGTTTCCTTTCAGCGAGCGCACAAACTGCTTGGCGAGGTAGTCTCTATCCGTCCCCGTGTTGTTGCAAGTTTCAACGAAATGGGGGACGTGCTGCTTAGGGTTACCATTTTCCATCAAATTGCATGAACTTTGGTGGTTGATAACCCATTGGCATCTTCAGGGCGTCAATCTTCTTGGAGTAGGGCTTTGAGTACAACATGAAGGTATGTGAGCTCCCTTCGTACTGTGCCTTGATGGTGTTGGTGATCATTTCCTACAACTGTTAGATAGAAAGAAATCTCATGAGTGCCGCTGCTTGGTCTGGCTCAGGTTTCTTTTCGACTTTCTCCACCACAGGCTCATCTGCTTCGCTGGCTTTTTCTCTAACGAATTAACCTTTGGGTTGGGGTTTTCGTCATCCTGCACCTCTAGTCGGTTGACGAGTGTAGCGATCTGCAAGTCTTTCTCTTCCGCGATCCTTGTGAGCTTTGCAATTGCTTCGCTCATTTGAGCCAGCTGTTATTCGATGGAGGTAACGCCGATGGTCATGTCTTGTGCGACCAACAGATGCGGCTTTCCTTCAGACATTCAGGGTGCTGATGAAGAACCTCGTTAGCCGTTTTGGGGTGTCATCTTGTACGCCTCAGCAGCATGCTTCAATGCCCCCAACGAGGTTAGGTTGATGATAGGCTCGTGTTTTTGATGCCCTCATTTCTCCCTTAACAGCATAAACTTTGAAGCAACATGTTGAGGAGTGGTTGTGGCGCCAATGGATGCTCCGTTCGCGGAGGAAGTGCTCAGGCTCCTTCCCTTGGTGGTTGCAAGAACGGCTTGTCCTTTACTTAATGCCATTGCTTTTGGAGGTGTGCTTTGATTTCTTGAACAGAGAAAGAGATGAGAGGTAAAGATAGTCCCACCGAGTGTGCCAAATTTGTAAACACGGAAATTCCTGCAATGAATGGAATAAGAACACGTGTACAAAATAATATTTTGTATTAATGATTTTGGGGTTACAATCTCTCTCAAATGTAATCCTCTGATTCAATCTCCATAAGGTGTTGATTTGTGAATGTGCGATTGATCCTAAGGCCGTCGAGGCTTGAACGATTGGAAGTTTCTTCAAGGGCTGTTGGGGCTTGATCTTGAAGGTTGAAGGAAGTTTCTTCAAGGGCCTTTGGGCTTGATCTTGAAGGTTGAAGGATGAACGGATCTTCAAGGGCTTTTGGGCTTGATCTTGAAGAACTGTTGATGAACGGATCTTCAAGGGCCTTTAGGGCTTGAGCTTGATGAACAGTTGATGAATGGATCTTCAAGGGCTTTTGGGCTTGATCTTGAAGAACGGTTGGATGTGTGGATTTGTTGATGTTGTTGATCTAAAGGGCCGTTGGGGCTTGATCTTATGATGAACAAATGATGAACGATGAACACTTTCTTCAAGGGCCGCTGGGGCTTGATCTTGAAGGAGGATTTGACGAAGAACGAAGATGACTTTCTTGATCCTTCGGGATTTGCTTGAGAGCTTTAGAGTTTCAAAACTTCAAGGTTTTGGTGTGATGTGAATTAGTGAATCAAAATGAACGACTTGGCTTCTTATTTATAGAATTCGAAAACTTGATTTTTGGATTTAAATAATCAAATGAAATAAATCATTTTTGCCAGGTGTTGAAACGTGTCCTATTTGATGACATTTCTGATTTATTTTGATTTTTCGTTGAGTCACATGCTATGTGTAAAATTTATGGGACACGTGAGCGTTGGAATTTTAATTATTGGTCAACATTTATTTCACCGAAATTTCGATGTCTACAGTCTTCATCTTCTATCTCAAAAGCCTTCCTTAACTTCTCTTCATCTATCTCAAAAGCCCTCCTTGCATGTTTTAGCTTTTCAGTATAGCTTTTAACTTTTGGATATTTTTTTGCAGTTTACCACATATTTGGCTGAGTGGGAAATAAGTTAGTAATCATGTATGAGTTTAGATTCCTTGAATGCTCAATATTTTAGTTGGAATCAAGTGGTGTGCTTTGTGCCGTGTGATGTGATTCAGAGATAGTTGGAATTGATTCCTTGAATATTTCTCACTTTTCTTTTTCCAATTTTGTAATGGAGTGGTGTGCTGTGTGCCTTCTTAGTTCGATAATTAAGCTACGTACCAATTGAGCAAAATAATTGATAGAAACATAAACTAAATCCTTTTCACATATGAAGCAAATCAATAAACAATTAACATATGACATTAAGCTTACATACTCTCATATGACATTAAAGGATTTGATGAAAATATGACCAAGAAGTGAATGCTTCTCATATGACAGCATAACCACGGAAGAACAAATTATTTGATTGAAAATATTTGCAGATTGAACTCTACTGGAGAAGTAATTCATTGTGTTCAAATTTCACTGGGTAAGTTTAGTTTCATATTAGCATGGATGTTCGCAATGGCCACAGCTCAAGTCGTGGTTTGAACGATGAGGTGAAGAAAATGAGGGAGGAGTGGATGAATAAAGAAGAAAAACACAGGAAGGCTGTGGAGTTGGTTTATGTTGCCAAGCCTGATGATTTGGAGGCTCAAATTAGGTCAGTTTTAATATCAAATTAGCCTTAAAAAAAAACAAATAAAATATAGAAGAAGAAATACTGAATATATGTTGCTAGGTTTATTTTATAGTTTCCATTTTTTTCCTTGCAAGATTGATTTAGAACATCATGTTTAGCTTCACTCTGTTTATGTGTTTTTCTCTTCTAGGTATGGAGGTTTAAACAATATTAGTTCAAGACTAATAATATTGACCTCTCCATTATCCCATGGAAATAAAATTTGGGTGGTCAAGAAATGAATAGAGATTGAATTGTTAGGTTATTTTGTCTTATTTATTTGTTAATTTTATACTCATAACAACATTTGAATGAGTTTAAGTTTTTTAATCAAGGTAGAAATTGCTATTTTTTTTTTTTGTAGCTAACTATGATCTCCATGCTTATTGTTCTATGTTACAAAACACTCCAGAGAGTGAGCCAAATTTATTCGACCTTGGAAAGAAGAAGAGCATGTGTTTTTTTGTAACTTAAGAAGAGCATGTGCTTTTTTGCAATAATCAAATTTCATTGAACTTGGAGAAATACTATTTTGACCAACTAGGATTTTAGTTTGTTTGTAACTTAAGTTAAAACTATAGTGACACTATTAATGTCTATGCCCAATGAACAATTATGGTAAATAGCTAACACAATACATCTTTAGGGCGCTTAGCGCCCGTGATTAGAAAAAAGGCATCTTCGCATGCGCGTGATGCGCTCACGCGCATGCAGAGACTAGATTTTCCTTTAAAACCCCAACCGCTTCTTGCACTCCTCTCAAAAACCCCATTTCCCACTTCGTGAAGAAACATCTTGCTCTTTCCCCCATCATCTTCTCTCTCTCTCTCTCTCTCTCTCTCTCTCTCTCTCTCTCTTTCTCTCTCTCTCTGGCCCTTTTTCCTTTTCAGTGTAGTTTCTGGTTCTCTGGGGATTGTCCTCAACTGCGTTCTCTACTTTTCTTTCTTTCGTTTCAAGATTCGTTTGAAATGGATAAAAAAACAGTGCATGTTTTCAAGGTTTTGTTCGGAGTCTTAGGTGAGTTTCTGAATTTTCCTCTCTGGTTTTCGGATTTTTTTCTCAATTGGATTCTTTCTTACCAATTTCCTTTGAGATTTGTGCGTTTGTGTTTGTTAATGCTCTGTTTCTTCATTTTTACAGGAAATGGCACCGCTTTCTTCCTCTTCTTGTCACCCACGTAAGCCCTCTCTCTCTCATTCTTTCATTTGGGTTCTAAAGATGATGCCTTTTTGCCTAAATTTTCATTTTGTTCAATGGGTTATGATATTTTGATTCTCTGTACATTCTGCTTGTTCAAAGAGCAACAATCTCTCCCTCTCCCTCTCTCTCTCTCTCTTGCTTTTTGTGGCTAAAGATCATGTCTTTTGTGTCATAAATTGGATTTTGTTAAATGGGTTTATGTATATCTGTTGGATAATAAAAAAGGTTGAATCTTTATAGGGTTTCTTTAATTTTCTGTGCAATTTATAGAGTAGTTTTGGTTTTAAAATGTGTAGAATTACATTTAAGAGGATCATGAGGAAGAAATGCACAGAGCAGTTCTCAGGCATTCCCTACGTGATGACTATGCTTTGAAGAACTTGGTATTCAATAATGTTTTCCCTTATTAATCTTGCTGCAATGGACATCAGCTTTTATATACACAGTTACATATGCATGTAATAAACAAATGTAATACAAGTGGACACTGTTACATACGCATGCAATAAACAATTGCATTACAAGTGATGTCTTTGCTGCCCACGATGCAGCAACCAGAACACAAGGTGCAGAAACCATGTGGTAGTCTAGCTGTCAGGGTTCCATGTGCAACATTCCTTTTGTCCAAGCTGTACAGCAAGTTGATTACAGATTGCAGCGTGGTGGAATTGGTGGTGCTGAAGTGGAGTTGTTATTAGGGTTATCCGAACTAGATTTATCACGCCCCCGCAAGCTGACGGGGCGTTGACGAACATGAAGCTTGGAGATAAGATAATGGAATCGGACAGAGGACAAACCCTTGGTTAAAAAATCGGCAATTTGGTATGTGGTAGCCACATAACCAACTTCTATTTCCTTGCGGATGACCTTGTCCCGGATGTAGTGATAATCCACTTCAACATGGCGCATGCGAGCTTGATAAACAAGATTGGAAGCAACAACAATGGCGCTGATATTGTCACACCAGAGACGAGGTGGCTGTAATGGAAGATATAAATCACGGAATAGATTGCGAAACCATGAGAGATGGGCAGAAGTATAGGCAAGTTGACGATACTCCGCCTCTGTGCTAGACCGTGACACTCCACGTTGCTTTTTCGAACTCCAGGAGATTAAATTTTCACCAAGAAATATGCAGTGACCGCCAGTGGAACGACGGTTATCAGGGTCGCCAGCGTAGTCAGCGTCAGCGAAGGCAGTGAGAGTGAGGGGACTGGGTTTGTAAAGTAAGCCGTGATCATGTGTGCCTTTCAAATACCGTAAGATGCGTTTGACTGCAGCCCAATGCGCAGTAGTTGGAGAGTGCATGAACTGACACACTTGGTTGACAGCGTAAGCAATATCAGGTCGTGTAAATAGAAGGTATTGAAGGGCGCCCACAACACTGCGAAAAGAAGATCCATCTGAGAGAGGCTCACCATCATATAAACTCAAGCGTTTACCACTGGGAACTGGCGTTGAGATGGGCTTGGCGTCAGCCATATTAGTTTTCTGTAGAAGTTCCAAAATATACTTGGATTGAGTGAGATAGAAGGCAGAAGGCGTCCGGGAAACCTCCATCCCCAAGAAGTAGTGTAAGGGCCCAAGATCTTTCATTGCAAAATGAGTACGAAGCTGCATGATGAACTGAGACAAGTGAGCAGTGTTGTTCCCTGTGATTAAAATGTCATCCACATAGATGAGAAGATAAATGATTGTTGAGCCATCAAAATAGGTGAAGAGAGACGAGTCAGCTTGGGAAGCCGTGAAGCCCAAGTCTTCTTGTTTCTGGGAAAAACATTGAAACCAAGCACGGGGTGCTTGTTTCAAACCGTATAGGGACCGTCGAAGTCGACACACATGAGACGAAAACTGTGGATCAACGAACCCTGCAGGTTGGCGCATATAAACTTCCTCATTCAACGTGCCATGAAGGAAGGCATTTTGAACATCAAGCTGGCGGATAGGCCACTGAAAGTGAAGAGCAATAGAGAGAATGAGCCGAATGGTGGTATGTGTGACCACCGGACTGAAGGTTTCGCAGAAATCAATGCCCTCTTGCTGATGAAAGCCATTGGCAACTAGGCGAGCTTTAAAACGCTCGATGGAACCATCAGAGTTCTTTTTGATGCGATACACCCATTTATTAGGTAACACGTTCATAGAAGAGTTGTAGGGTACCAAAGTCCAAGTGCCGGTACGCTGTAAAGCGTTGAATTCATCCGCCATTGCTTGGCGCCATTGGGAAGACTTATTGGCCTATGAGAAACATGTGGGCTCAACCAAAGTATTAGTAACATTAGTGATGCAAGCATATCTGGGATTTGGTTTGCGAATTCCTTGTTGACCACGCGTGATCATAGGATGAGTGGATGAACCAGTATGTGAAGTGGTGTTGGCAGGTTCAATATTCACGTGAGTAGTGGGAGGTGGTGGGTGAGAATGGAAGGCTGGGGTAGGTAGCGGTAGGGAGTGAGGGAGGGAGGTAACGACAATCGGTGTTGAAAGGGAAGGAGGAGTCCGTGGGGTCGAATGTGGTTGGGTGTAATGGAAGGTATCAATGTCGAGGACATGGTCCAACTGACTAGGGTTTGACAAGATCGGAGGAGCAAGTTCTTTAATAAGGATTGTAGAGGATTTTAAATGATTTTAAAAGACTTTAGAATCATGGTGTAGTCAATTAGGACTTTAGAATCATGGTGCAGTCAACTAGAATTTTAAATGATTTTTATAGAGTCCATGCAAATATATAGGTATTAAAAAATTCATAGATTTTGAAAGATTTCTTTCAATAAGAGATTTTGTAGAATTTGAGAAGGGATTATAAGCATAACAAAATCCTACCTCCACCCCTAGGATTTTTTTTCAACCCCCTGGCTGTTTCTCTTTCTCCCTCTCTTCATAATGCAACTCGATCTTTCTTTCTCACTCTCCATTTTCTTCCGGTCATAGAACCTATCAACATGATTTCCTTTCACGTTCATTCGTCACTGTCCCAATTGCAAACTTATATTTTTTGAATTGTACAATATTTTTTTGAATTTTTTATTTCCTTTATTTTGGACTGTGTAATAGTATTTCTTGTAATGCTTTGATGGAAAGTGTTAATGGCTACTAATAGTTCTTGTAATGATTATGCATTCTATTTGAAGGTGTTAATTTTTTTCCCATGTTAATTGAACTCTTGGAAATTACTACTAAGAATCTTATTGCCAATTCAAGTTTTATGTTCTTTTTTGTGTAATCATGTTAGTGCAAGGGTGCAAGCATCTTCCAAAGCCTATTTATAATGGTAGATGTACTTAGACTGGACAACACATTATGAACTAATCAATTGTTGAGGAAAAAGGGTTAATTTTGAGACATTTGATTTAGAAGCACTACTTGTTTTGGTTAGTTAAAATTATTTTCGTAAAGAAATCACAATTCAAATGAGAAAGGGAAAGAAAAGACATATTTGATTGGTTTATATTTCCATATATATATGTTTGTGTCTTTTTCAGATTGTGCACTGAGAAAAGAATTTATGTTGTAGGAGTCAAAAAAGAAATCCTAAAAAATTCATGAAAGAAATCCTTACAAATCCATAGAAATCTATAATAGAAATCCATAATAATCAGTCAAAATCCATATGGAATTGTCGAATCTATTAAAATCCTATGAAATTTGTCACTTAAAAAAATCCATTAAAATCTTCTAAAATCCAAATTGACTACACCCCCCAAGTAGATAGAGGAAGTGGAAGATGATTCTAGAAAACAGAAAATGATATTAGTAGATTATATTAAATAATAATAACATATTATAGATATAGATTAAATAATATAATATTAGAATCTTGCTTTTTAGTCCGACACTGCACCAAACACTTCACTAAATCAGTCCAGCTTAGTCCTTGAAGCTAGTCCAGTATGAAATAATCCGGTGCAATATACGCACCCTTAATGTCTTAACTTATGTGGCGAGGATGAAGAAAGTTGGTACTATTATAAAATTAATTAATAATATAGAGAATAATATTCACTCTTTATGAGTTTTTGTAAGGTTTTTGTTTTAACCTGAGACTTTTTTACTTTCACACATTTTCACACACCTTTCAAGTGTTGTTGATTTTCAAGTGGGGAACAATACGAATTGAGTGACGTGGAACACATGTGGTTGTCAACCTACTCTGATACTATGAAGAAGGTTGACCATAAGATCAATCGACAATATAGGAAGCAACTTCTTATAAACTCTTACAAAGTTAATCCTTTCACTGATATGAGACTCTTTACTTTCACACCACATTCTCACATAGGGGTGGATGTGAATCATAAGTTACTTTGGGAGAAATCATTAATCAACTTAATCAAAAACCTACGACCTAGCCATTGTTGGAGCAATATTAGAAAATATGATAAATATAAAAGAATTCCAATAATAATAATCATAAAGAAATTTCACAACATCAATTATATATGAGATTAATATAAACAACTAGAGATAAAGTTAGAAAAACTGACAAACTTGAAGATTAAGGCTTGCATAAATGCAATGTCCTAAAGATAGAATTTCGCCCCTACTTTTGTGCTTGTAGTTCGATAGGCATCCATCTCCCAAGATTCAACAATCTATAATCCGAAGTCAAAGCACTTTAATATTCGGACTCTGACGAACTTTATATATTCGTACTCTCAAGACACGACTCGGAATTTGACACACGAAGCATGAGAAAAACAAAGTGGGGAAACCCTATTTCTCAAGAGTAAAAATTAACTATAATTTTCTATATTTAATACCAATGGTTTCATGGGTTTATATAGATTCCAATTTCTACTTATTAAAGAGATGTAACTTTTCATCTATAAATATACATCACTTATCAAGGGAATACGCCTAAACAACATAACCTTTCTAAGAAATTGGTTAACACTATTCTTCATTCAATTATTAAAAATTATATATTACAATATTTCATATTATAATATATAATTTCCAACAATCTCCCACATGAATGAAAAATTTGGAAGAATTTGAGAGTACAGGCGGACAAGAGATGCATCGAAAGAGGTGTCTTTTGGACTTGAACCTACCCTAGTGAATACTTATCGGATTTACTTGGTGACGCAGTGAATATAAAATCTTGAACTGTTCACCGCAGTAGTAAACCGAGACAATAAGCAACACACATCACTAATCCTAATATATTATGGTTCATACGGTTGTGTTCATTTTGGTCCTGGACAAATCCCGGATTCTTGAGAGCTTTAGAGAATTTAGCCATCTCATTCTCATAGAAGCGATCCACTTCTACTCTCACATAGGTGACCACTGATTAAGAATAGTATGCTCTATTCCTCTTATTTATAAGATATCACTGTCTTTAAGTATAAATATACAACCTAAAACG